TCGAGCCCAGCTTGCGAGCCGCGCTTGCTCGTGCATGCCTACGCCTAACAAAGGTGCGAGAGAGAGAGAGAGAGAGAGAGAGAGAGAGAGAGAAACCGACGCAAGCGTGGCTCCAACGTCTGGCTGCGTCGTGGATTCGGAGGCCAACAACCCCTGTCGTCACGTCGCCGCCTCGGCGAGGAGCCTCTTCTGGGAAGCGCTGCGAAGCGAGAGCGGTGCGGTGCGTTTTCCTTGTTGACCCAACTGTCCACGCGCCTCAACGCCCACCCACACACCAACCCGACCCGACCCGTAGCAGGCCAGCTCCGCTCCGCTCTGCGCCGCGCCGCGCCGTCCGCACCCGCGAAACCAATGCGCGGCACCGAGCAGTCGCGACTCGAGCAGTCCTCGCGATATTGGCGATGCAGAATAAGCAGTAGGGAGATCAAGTTCAAGTGACGCGAAACTAACTGCGCATGCGCAGATCGATTTGCTGTCGATTACTACGCTACGCAGTGCGTTAGTTTGGCTTCCGATGTATTCCATGAAAAAATTGAGTCCTGGGCTTCCGATGTATTCGATGAAAAAATTGAAACCTGGGCTTCCGATGTATTCGATGAAAAAATTGAGACCTGGGCTTCCGATGTATTCGATGAAAAATTGAGACCTGGGCTTCCGATGTATTCGATGAAAAATTGAGACCTTGATTTTCGATGTATCCGATGCAATTTCACCCTCGGCGGGGAAGAAAACGGTATCCTCCCAGAATGAAACTCGCTATTCTAATAAGAATAATGACTAATTGGAAGTTGACTAGACCGAAAATATCAAACGAGTACAAAGGCAACACAAGTACAATTACTTCAGTTGAAAGCAAAATTATTTTTCAACTTTGCATACTTACATGTTACTTGTATTCGTTATTTTATTACCCAAGTATGATTATACTAACAAAAATTGATGTTGCGGATAATGATAATATGAGTTTAATGTCTAAACAGGGGAGGGAGTTAATCCTTCGATGAACCACACTTACTAAATATAATCGAAATTTACTTTTCGAAAGATGAAAATCATTATTTTATATGAAGTTAAAAATTAATATTCCACAATGAAACCCAAAACCCAAAAAATAGCCGATGGGTATTTTGTTGAATAAAAGTTAGAAATTTCCAATAACGGGGCCCGTGAACCATGTAGCATTTCGCCACTACTACGCACTTTTCCCGCCTTCTAACCAAGGTCGCATTCCCTTCCCAAGAACGCTTGCTCGCCCTCCTATTCCGTATTGACTCACCACGCCTCGCCTCTGATAAGACTTAACTTCCGAGCGGCTCACCAAAACTAACAACGCGAACTTCCACAGGATTAAAGTTCGAACAGACTTGGGCTTCTCCTGTCAAAATGACGAATCGCCCCACGGCACCATTCTAAATTGCAGACGAATTTGAGTTCCCGTCCCTGCCATCCACAGCGCCACCATTGCCGTCTAGCCAGAGCCCTCCACTGGCCTCTTGGTTCACAGTGCGATTCACTTATGAAGGCTAGTTGACGCTTCGCTACGCATTACCAAATTGAGAACTAGGCTCGGGCCTTAGCTTGAAACATCCTTGAGTTTGTGAAATGCATAATCATCAACACGTTTTACGCTTACTTTAAATGCACAGGAAACATAGCTGAGCTTTACGGCTATTCATTTCCAAGCTGATTGTGAAACTCGAGCGTTCGCTCTCGCTTAATATTAAAACCCCCGGAGTCAGCGCAACGCTTAATTTCTGACGCCTTTTATCCAAAAAATGACCCAAAAAGTGACGCAACGAGACACGAATGACCTTGAGCTATCACGCTAGCTAGTACGCTATCAGTTGTGCTATGGATTGGCTACACATTTCTCGCCCCGTAATAAACCTAATTCACCTGGTGGCGTTACGTAACAGCGGGGACGATAAATTCGGCTGCGATTTAGAATTCTGCGTCTCCTTGGACACGAACGTCGCTGGAGGTCCCATACAGGGGCGGGGGAAAGTGATAAAAAAATTAAAAAAATATTTTCAGTATTACTGGATTATAGGAGGCGAATTTTGTTGACCTACAACCTGGAAAAAAATTATTAAAATACTCTGTAAATGTTCTTAAATGCCCCAAAAGCAAAGAAAATTGACTTAAAACTGCCGATCAAAACCACTTCAGATGAACAACTTAAGCATTAGGATATATTACGAGATATATATAATCGAGAAAATCTCAGGTCTTAGGTATCCCGCAATCGACTATGGCGCTGTTAGGCGTCACAGGAACATTAGATTACACAAATTATTGTACTTTTAGTCGAAATCGACGATGTAAAAACAGTCAAAAATTAGTATTTTAATTTTGTTATCACCAAACCTTCGACTTTAGGACAAATATCTATTTGGTGCCTTTAGGAGGTTGTGGACAATAATTGCAGATGTTTGCGAATTATTATAGTACATATACAATTATTTTCCACCACTTAGTTGATAGGGCTTTGTACGGTACGTTGAAAAAATATAAGTAAAAAGAAACTAAGCCTTTTTTCTAAATTGGGGTAACGAGGGGGGGTGTAAGAGTCCGAAAATTAGTGATCACAAGTTCTCCTTAATCCCACACAAATTACACAGCAAAAAAGAATTATTCAAAATGTATGGATGTTGTTTATTGCTTTTTATTCATCTTTCGCTTCATTCTTTCTTAGAATCAGTAAAATTATATTATTATCACACCCTAATTCCATACTTCTACACTGTACCGTAATCGTAGAACTGATTCCATAACTAAGCCTCTTGCTTCCGACAGACGAGAGCAACCTTCAGGATTAACCCTTTCTTCTCTGACTTTGAGAACTCTTCAGTAATTCGAACCACGGAGGGTGAAATGAAGTTGGTGCAAACTTTCCTTCTTTAACTTCTTCACAACCGACAACTTGTGTTGCGCAACTCGATGATAAATATGAGACAAACTATATTTGTAAATATATCGAGCTCAGGATCATTTAAACTGGGATGGCCTGGAAGATCGTATTCCTTCTTCCGAATAGACGAAACATTTTTGTAGACACATTTGAATTCAAATATAAACAGTTACAGTCACCCTTGCCTTGGGTTATATTCCGCTTCTTTCTCTTCCCCATGAGAGAGTGATATTTAGACGTCACACTAGCTTTGCACATTTTACCTTGCACCGAACAATACCACAGTAACAACGCAAGTTCGCAACGAACTGGGTAAATCCCATTCATAAACATAACGATTCAAGTATTCGAAATAGGAGCTACCTATTAGTATAAAGTACAATTTAGTGTCAACTGCCAAAAGCCCACAACTACTTCAATTATCAACCTTATTAATTCGACACAACCCTGAGGTAAGCATTTAAGGAATTTGCAACAAAAATAAGAAAAACAAAGAAATTTTAAGTTTCAGTGCATCGCCATATGAGTTTACTCTCCAATAAAAGCACTTTAGTTTTTATTTGTCAGGTCTATTTGTTGTTGTTTTTTTCCTTCTCATCGAAACCCTAGATCTGCATTATATGAAGTCCCGGACTTCAGCCACCTTGGAGGGAAAAGTAGGTTTCCATTTTTGAGTTATCACCGAAAGTAACTGTCTTGAGCCCTCAACGCACCGTCGCCTTTGTCGATGACCCATGGTTACATAACACAAAAACGGTGTTGGTTACAGGAGAGGCAAAGAAAACAGCTGAAGGTCGTTCGAAGCGCGTATAAGGAATGAATGTGTCCGTCATTATTTTCGCGCGATAATTAAATTTTCAAGTTCGCGAAACCAAATCTACGATTTTGCGTTATTTTTTTTCCTAATTCGAAAATGTAATGAGATGGGAATCTTAAGTATTTAATTTTTACTATTTCTTCTATTTCAAATCTTGGTAATACTTTACATTTACGTTTGTCCATTCGGGCGTGGGCAAACAAATTAAATGGCGTCACCATATCTAGAAAACAATTGACTAGATACATGTAGAGACGTTGCAAAAAGGGGTCGGTAGGAACTGTCAAATGTGATTAACTACACTGAGCCAAACTGCGCCGTCGAGAAAAATCGAGATACATTAGCAGAACATTTCAGGAAATAACCACACACTTCGACAGGGTTTCCTAATTCGATTTGAAGATATCTGCGAGAAACGAAATGAGCGCGAGGAAATTCCGCTCTACGGGCTGGAAAAGGAATTTGGGAGGGGGGGGGGGGCTGAGGAGTCTTGTTGTTTGGTTTTCGGAAAGGTTCTTACGCTCATTTCCTTTTAAGTTGAACGGCAAGATTCAAAAATTTCCTGACGATTGAAACAAAAAGCCAGATATATATATATATATATATATATATATAATATATATATATATATATATATGTATATTTTAAACAGCTAAGAAAATGTTTCCCTATATACTACCGAAATAAGAGAGCTTGTGTCAACTTGAATGTTAAAGCACTAACGAACTTCTGCACATGAGCAGTTCAAGTTTCGCACCACTTGAGTGCATCTGCGCATGCGTGGAAGATCGATAGCTCGCACAAACTCACTACTGCCCACAACAATTTAATTGAAGTAATGCCTTATTTTACGTGGCGAGACTCAGACCATCAGGCCTGCTCTTCCGTCTGACCACGCAAATTTCGATACGCTCCTTTCACCAACTAGGAGAGAAAGGAGGTATTTCTTGGGCGAGAAACAGTCGATTACAATTTAGCTCAGAGGCATCATTTAGGCTTGAGGATCTTATACATGCAAGTAAATCTACTAACACGGGACAGCCGGCTTTACTTCCCCTCCGAAGGAAGGCGTACGAAGGATTTTTTCGCCCTTTCCACGGCGTCGATCGGGTTTGAGCCCGCCAACTCGGGTACAACAGTCCGGTACGCTAACCACACATCACCGTCACCGCGCACAATTCGCCTCACAACACAAGCCGAAATTCACCATTAGCCTCGCGTGTGATTCAAATCCGCAACCGCAGCCCAAATCCGTTGCCGCCGCCACCACACCTTGGATTCTTGGTGGTCGCAATTCTCTCCCACGCGACGAAATCCGCGCATCGCCGGCGGCGCCGCGGCGCCTGCGACTCTTTCACCATCCTTACGAAATCGTATCGAAGGTCCCAGCGGTCGACCTACGCCTCGTTCCGAATTCTCGTTCTGCCTTCCGTGTCTGCCACGTGCGCCTCGGCGAAGCCGTCCTCGCTGCGCATAGACACTCGTTTCTCGCGCTTGTGCCTCATGAACCACAAAATAATAACAAACGAACCGCAAGTCTGTTTCGGCTAATACTACGCTCCGCTTTGGGAAAGAAATCCCTTCGCTGGAACATTACAATCAGAGCAACAACAATTATTATGTACTTAAAACACTAAGAGTTTTCGTTTAGAAAGAAATTTGAACGTACCAGCTTTTATGATTTTTGCTTTAAATTAGAGGTAGTAGGCCCTAAATGTGCCATAACAGATTCATTTTTAACCAGTTTTATGAAACAAAACAATACATTTTAATAGTAACTTATAATCGATGAACATTTATCCACCGCGATTGTTATCTGACGTAACGTTAAAGGCTAACCTCCACGTACGAGTAGTTAGCTTTGGTCATTTCGTTGTGCTGGTTGTCGATCTACCAAAAGCAGTCTCTTTGGATCGCGAGAATGTGTTATAATTAGCGGGGTGACGATTGCGACTTTTTTTTAGATTTTTAAATGCAAAGAGTAGTGAGTGAATAAACTCAATGTGACTTGTCTAATACGTGCACTACGTGTCCTTTTACCATGCATTTTCAAATCATGGTAAATACATGTTACCTTTGTTTCAACAGTAAGTAGTGGTTGTATTGTTCCAAAATTTGTAAATGCTCTTATCTTTCAAAATAATTACAGAACGCAATGAAACAATATTACGGGTTTTCTATTTTTCGTTTCATGTATTCGAATTTCTCCTCTTCTTTCTGTCCGATGTAATCGCCCGGCTTCAGGAAGAGTAGTATGGAAGTGGAAACTTGTGGTGTGGTGGAAACTGAGCAACTAATTTCTTTTTTCTATACACGAACATACAAAATATACGAAGGTACGAAGCTAAGATGGAGAATATCTCCTTTCAGATATACAGGCCTTGTTAGAGTGTTGTGCAGCCTTCGCGATGCCTGAAAAGCTGTCGCTGTTGCTCTTGGTGGCTAGAATTGTCCTGACTCAGCACGTGGCGTTTAAACGACCCCAAAGTAACTACAGGGGCTGAAATCCTCTAAAATCCAACACCGCATCGGCCTCGTAAACTTACGTCCCCGAATGTTAAACTTGCAACAATTTCTGAACCGTTACGTATTAATACTAGCAGATATGATAAGGTTCAATAATACATATCACATACGTCCAACAATTTTATCTAATAATCACAAATATTTTTATTTGTGCAGGTTCATATGTTTAGTCAACAAACAAGAACCGAAAACAAATCAACGCGTCTAAATATTACTACGCCCTCGTGACAAAGAATTATCACACAAATCATGCCAAAACTTCAAAACAAGAAGGAGTGCAAATATTTTGTAGCACAATGTTCGTAGCAGAGATTGATCAAACTAACTACGTGTCACTACCATACCAGTGACAACTCAGTATTTACGTCTGATATTGTCAGCATTATAAAACGAACGGCTATATCTTTAATTTGCTCTAATTGGCTTTAATAAAATAAACTATAATTATCACTATTACAAAACTAGAAATTTAATGTTCCATTTAATAATGACCTCATAGCCAGAAATAATATTCACAATCAGAAATGTCAACAATGAAGTCCACGGCATTTGGGCAAGATCCACCAAGGGATGACATCATGCAAGATAACACCACGTTGCACTCCTATGATCATACACTGTCCACGCTTCAGATGTCAGACGAACACGAAATAAATTTCCATGAGTAGGTGAGAATTCTTAGTAAAAAGAGGACCGTAGACGCCACCAGTACATCACCATAAATCATTTATACGCCCACGTGACATCGGTAAGAGATTTGCGACATAATGTCGCGGAATCATCGTTCGTGCAGTGTCACCAGCCACAGGAAATTGCTTTTCCGCGTTCAGATTTAAAGCCATATACGCTAAAATTTGGGTTGTAAAATGGATTTTTTTTAAACAAAAAAACTGTAATTTTTCATAAATTCATTAAATCCAACAAATACAGGCAGACTAGAAATTTGCCACTCACAAATAGCTGATATTTTCAAACTCGCACGAAGTATGAAAAAATGCGTTAGATTAAATATTTTTAAAATATTTAAGATAAGATTTAATATTTATACGCGATTTATATAATTAAAATTGAAATTAAAATTAATTGTACACAGCATTTCACTACCCGCAACCGAAAAATTGTTTAAGCTTATGGCTTCTTACAATTCACTGTTATATACATTAACAAAAACATGATTAAACGGATCCTGAGCATTGCGTCCCACAGACACAAACAAGTTATCCATTATCTAACAAAATAATGCGCGAAACACATTGAAATAAAGGGCTTTGAGAAATAATCAGACCTGCCGCTAAGGCAATAGTGTTTAAGCGATCTCAGACCGAAGGATCGCGGGTTTGAGTCCCACCTTGGGCATGGTTGTACGAGTTCGTCCTTTCACCCTCTATCCCCACTGTATCATGCCATACCAGTTACATGCAACAGTGGTCGCTAATGACGTTGATGCCACCTTAAATCAAAAACCTGCCGCACCAGCCACAGTAAGCTTCCTATTATTGGTCATTGTATCTACCTCGATTCCAAGTTTGTCCTCTTGTAATTGCCTCCAGTAATTTATTTATACGAATAAGACGCATATTAAGAAAATACGGGTTAACACCTACAAATGGCAGAATGCTAGCTGCGGCGGATGATTTACACTTTAACGCCTCAAGCCCTTGAAATGTTTTGCAGATCAGATTTGTTAATACGATGCGTTTTATGGAAAGGTCATAAAATATTTTAGAAACGAGTCTCACGTTTAAATAGTTTGTAAAAATTGTTTTTATTTATTTATTTACGTCAAAAACAGTTAAAAACTGTGACGTGCTATGGGTTTCAATTCAGTTAATTTCAAGCTACATTTATATCTAGAAGCAAAACAAGGCCCACATCGTTGTGAATGTACCGACATGAAAGTGAATAAAATTTATCGATACGTCCGGAATTCAGAAACTATTTTCACACAAATGTTTACCGTATGTACAAGTAGTCTACGTACATACCATATAAAAATAGTACACTATAATAAAATACAGAATAATTCAAAATTTGCTGATTGTTATATGAGCGTTGGGGTTCTTTCAAAAATTGCGTTGCTCTCGTCTGCATTGATGAATGCTGTTTGGGTCTTGCAACACAATTCTTGATTAAAATAGAACATGTTAGCTCTAGCTTACTCTCGGGAAAACTCGAAGTTTTACAAAGTTTGTAGTTTCTAAAATTTACTTTTCAATAACAGCTTTATTTTATTTAAAATTCCGGAAAATATTACCGGGTGCAACAGTCGATACACCACTTATTGTGTGGCTGTTGTTCCTGAACCAGCAGTATAAACTATAGTTCAACTACAGGCTACTGTATTGCAACAAATATCATCGAAGTGAGCTACTGTATAAAGTAAACAAACCTATCTCGAGAACGGTAATAACGAATTACCAAGGAAACAGTTCACGAAAATAAGATTTCTGGAAGTCCAGCTTTTATTACTCATATTACAGAACTAGGAAACTATATCACACGAAGAAAATCACTGCACGACGGATGCTCATAAAAACTTAACCCATTTACTAACAGAAGCACGGAATTAAATTGCACGACTTCCAATATCACATCACGTGGGACACACTATAAAAAAATTACCAACAGACGGCGTGCTATTGAACAATAAGACTACCAAACGACGAAACTACGAAAAAACAAAAATTGTCACGTGAGGCACTCGCCAAAACAAAACAAAAAATCATCCGTGGCCATAGAGGCACGCCGTTGAATCACAGAAACCCACCAAAAACCACCTCGGGTTGAAGATTCCCGAATCCGAAGAATCGCCAAATCGCCCGAAGGCATCGCAGGCACATCGCTGCCACACACATGACGACCAAATATGATGAAAAAAAAAATACGTTTCGCCTCCGAGACCCGCAAATTAACAAAGAAAAAGAAAAACTGCAATCACCAACTCACCCTTGGCAGCGTCAGACCGCGACGCGCGCGAACTCTGCCACGCCCTCTTGAAGATAAGCGCGATCACCATGGTGATGGTTTCGGCGGTGCCCGCCCGGCGTGTGGCCCAGTCGCGCAGAAATCAAGTCGAGTGGTCCCGGTCTGGGCCCGCACACGCGCTCCGTGCTAGCTTATCGCGGCGATTTGACCACACTCTCCCTCAGACGGCGTGAAACAACAACGACGACACGCCGTTTCAACACCGACAAAGGGGGTGTGCGAGTGGTCATCCCCAAGACGTACCTACCTCCTCCCCACTCCCACCCTCCCCTCGAAGGGCGAAGTCACCCGCTCGCCGCCGCCCCTCCGACCCACGCGACGGCCCGGCGTCAGCCCTTCCGAGCCACGCGCTTTCGCAAAACGCCACCGTTACCGTCGGGCCAGGGCGGAGTTCACAGTCCGCGCGACCCACACGCGGCCACAAACGATAAGAAAACGAATTTCCTCGCCTTTCCACGGGGTTCCAAGCATCTTCACACTAATTGAATGGGTGAAAACCAGAACGGTATACGTGACATTTTTATAAATCCTTTGAAAAACGTACTTTAGGCTACATTTCGGTGGAAATGTATTTTCGTGGTGGTAATGAACAATTAAAACGCTGAGGTATTAATGGTGAAACAAAGCACTACGACATAACAGTGACATTGGCTTAAATATACTGATTTATCAGAATCTATAAAATGTCGCTTATACCGTTTTGATTTTCACCTATTCAATTTGTTCTCAATCTCACCGATAATTTTCTTTTTTTTTAAATAATTTTAATAAATAAAATTTCAATATGTCAGAAATAAACACTGCTAAAAAGGGTGGCAATTATTTGTTAATTGTTTGCTATCAATTGGTGTAAATTGATTTCGATTAGATTTCTTTAAAAAAAACGACTTACGTCAACACAACTTGTTTTTAGCAAACGTTTGTCCATTCTTTGCCATTAATAAAATAAGTATGGTAATATTTCATAAACACTTGCACATTCGAAAATTAATTTAAGCCTCCGAGTTCGAAACCAGAAAAAACAATACGAATTTGAGATAACGTCTATTAATTTCTTCACTAATTACTGAATAATGTTTTACCTATAAACATATTATAATCTCCATTGAATGAAAAATTATAAATAAGCTTAGTAATATAAATAAATAAAATGTATCTTTAATTTTTTAATTCACTAAGTGTTTTTTTTTCTTCAGTTCTATTAAGTATTGGCTATCTATTCAGTCTTGTTAAAACACATTTTAAAAAGTTATTAGGTAGTACTTAATATCTGTACAAAACTAAATTTTGTATGACCACCACGTACAATTAAATTATTTATAAGCAATTATTTGCGATATTTATGTACGCAATATACAAATCCCTCACTAATAATATATTTCCAAATCTGATCAATTTAATAGTCTTAACTATATATCCACAAAGTACTTTCTTTGCACATTCGCCCCTTAAATTTATTTACCTAATTGATTTATTGGCGATTTAAGGGCTCAACTACTAAGGTCGTTCAGTCCTATAAATTATTTGATGAGCAGCTGAGGTTCCCCAAGCATTTTCGAAATCTTAACTCCTAATGGTATTTCTACCCTTGCTTTTCCATGAGTTCTTGCTAGTTTTTTCCGAAATTAGTCTACCTGGTAAGGTAAAGTTCATTTTACAACTTCGAGATTTGTATGATTATTATAGGTATATTTTGCTGTATTCAAACCTTTTACGATACTTTTGTACAATGGATCCTAGAAATCTATTAATTACTAGCTTCAATGTTTCCAAAGCTTAATTCATCGTTTGGGTGAAGACCACCAGAACGTAGTTTCCGAACCCACGTCCCACAAAAATTCTTTCAATTTGGCTTCAGAAAGATTTGGAGAATTTTATGTACACTAACGCGAAGACAACCCAGGGAAATACTGTACTAATAAATATGTTAACTGTTGAAACATTAAAAGCGACATCGGGCTTTCTGTTGACACGAACGTTGGAGGCAACATAAGGAATCATATGCAAGGGCAAAACTAAGACCGTAATCGATTTAGTCTGAAACAAATGTCAGAATTACTGATTAAATTGCCAGTTTACTGGTAACACTGATTTGCAAATAAATCTGTGCGTGGTCGAGCAAAACAACTCATTTTCTGTTCAAGCACACAAAGACATCAGAATTAGTCAAATCATTTGCAGTCTTTTGATCGCAGACTAGTGTAATTCGGATCAGAATTCTTGTTCACCGAAGGGCCATGACAGACCAACGTGTTTACTTCGGTAAGACAGATGACAACGGAGCTTAATGGATTTATTATTACTAAGCCTCACTAGAAACAAATCGATTATTAAATTACTCGACAAATAAAATTTCGACATCTCTTTTCTCAAAACAGCAATTAGAAGGGACAGCCTTCTCCAATCACCACCTAAATTATTACGACTTATTTATTTTAATTACTCTGAAAACAGTTTTGCAACAAAATACAAAAAGTCACCCACGTCACAATTCTTCTTCGAAAAACTCAAGTTTCCTAAATGTATCGCCACCATGAATAATGGCAATCCTGGAAGGATAATGATCTGTGTAAATACTGAATCTATTATCTTATTGTAATGCCTCTGCTATGCAAATTTGTACAAATTTGTTATCAACTCAATCAACCTAATACGATTTGTAAGCTTTATATAATTTTTGTCTTGTAATGGCCGAGTTCAATCATCGCCGGTCTCATTACTATTACGCACGTATCAACATGTACCATAAGCGCAAATTATCTTGACACACGAGGTCTCCAGTTCTTGCCTAGCGTCGAAGGCCACTGTCCTTAGAGAGGCCAGAGACTTAGGTCCGAATTTCGAATCGAAAGGGCACAGATCAATTTCCAATGTTACTATCTTCTACCCCTTCCCTTGAAATCGCTTCAAATTATTACATTTCTTAAATCGGTGATTATGCTAGAAATTTGCGCATACTGCTCTTATATTTTACATTTTTTTGGCGTTTTCTTTGGTTCAAGGATTACGTTTAGATTAACTTATTCTTTATTTCCTCTATTATACTGCATTGGCTAACCTGTCAGAATTCTCGGTTTTGTTGTAGACGGTTCAGGGACAAGAAAAATCGCCTGTGATACAAATTAAAGAAAGTACATAAGCTCAATAAAAGGTTTACGTTTTCTGCTAGTGAAACGGATTACTCATTTATCATCTACCCTATCTTTGTATACACGCAAAAGAGTGAATACCACAAAAAGAAAGAGCGAATAGTGACTGGAAATAACCATCGGCGACATCGTTGTGAAGTTGAACGTTATGGCCAAAAAAAACAAAACATGATAGACATTTCGATGACGGAATAACATTTTGAAGTTCTACGTAGAGTATCGAGAGTAACAGTGAACTCTCCGGGTTAGATACGGAAACTCCGAGCTGTAAGCTCAACCTCTGACCTCGTTTCTTTCCCTGATAAAATATGGTTAATTTCACTATTTTGTTTATTAATTTAATTTAAACTAATTTAATTAAAATTAATTTAAACACTATTTACGCTATTAACACACTCATTTCTTTGTAATAAAACAACATCTAATACAGTTCTCTTAATTTCCCATTATCTTAAATTGGTTCCGATTATTCACAACTCTTATTTTATGATACCTAGGTAAACTTATTTCCCTTCAGATTAATGAGATTGTTCCGGATTACGTAGAATAGCTTTCGAAATAGTCATTTAAAAACGCAGGTTCAAGGTAAAGACAGTATATAGAATGGCAACAAATGTTACAAACTACTAGGGAATGTAGAGATATCGAAAATTACCATTTCGCCAATGAACATTTAGTGATAAATTGCATACAACAGAGCGACATGATCTGCCATATATAATATACAGTAAGTAATCGCCTAACGAGTTTTGGGTTCCCGTCTTGGGCACTACCAACTTTGAAAAAATATTACCGAATTTGTGAGGGCAAAACTTCGAACCTCCAATCATCTTACAAAAAATTGAGAGTTCTGAAGACCTCTGACATGCTCACCAGTGATTCTAGTGTTTTTCTTTGATTGCTGCATCATTTTCATGCAGAACCAGGGAGGCCACTCGTTTTCTGAAACAAATTTTCCCGTCTTTTACCGATTTTCTAGAGCATTTAAATAAATGTTCTTTGAAAAGACTTGGTAGAGTATTTCACGAAAATATTAAAGCACGCTTGCAATTAACTTGCCAGCTATCTAATTTCGCAGTGATTAAGTACATTTTTTTTTAATCAATGAAGAGAAATTGAGCTATATAACAGGCTGTACTTTTCTTTGAAGAATAATAGTTGTCTAATCATCTCAAAATATTCCCAGATTTCTAACAACTCGTCCACAAATTTCCCGATTCCCCCCCCCCCCCGACTTTTCCAGAGGATTGAAATTCCCTGATTTTTCCCGGCCCTTCACGTTTGCCAACTCAACTGGTGAATTTTGGATGCATTTCTTTTGGACGCGGACCGAACTGCGCAGTTTCGGCCTGCAGCGTTGCCCAACGACGGCCTGGTCGCAATTCGGTGGCGTCTTCTGGGAAGGCCGGAGTGAAAGGCGGATTAAGTGGCAAACGAGGGAGAGACAGAGACAGCCAGCAGCTGGCGATTCCCAGCCGAGCCATTGCGGGACGGAGGCAGGTAGCTGCTTGCAACTTGCATACAGTGGGCGGAAACGGGCCAAAATTTGCATGGATTGCATGAGTGGGGGGTGGGGGAATTAAGAAACGACGAAACGTGCGAATCGATAGTTCGGTACACAAACATTGTACGTCCACTCCTTCTCATCTTGCCGTTAGTATATTTTTTGGAGATCTAGTGCACCAAAATTTTGTCCATTACGATGGACCATGCATTTTGTTTCCAGAAAACAAACACTGTCGCTGCATAAGAAAATGTACCGTTACAACTTTCAAGCTGTTTTCACGAAACTGGCAATTCTGAACGTAGTGCGCTTAGCCATGGAAATGCTTTATAACTTCCTCTGCCAACTTCACGTTTTATACAATCGTAAATTTACAAGACAATAAAACGTCAAATACAGCATTAGAGTAAAAAAATATTCTACATTCCCGTAATTTTATTGGAAAATTAATCTTAATTAAAAATGCTATACCGTTTTTGCCTGACACCGCCTAGCAGTTACTTGTTCGAAATAAGTTAACATTCAAAAAACTATATTTTTAAGCGTAAATTTATCTGACCACTCTTGACCGAAAAAATTACAGTACTTCAAAACATGTTTAAAATTACTGGAAACCCTTTTTTCTTCTCCACTCCGGTTATACAAACCTTATTACTCAAGAATCCTAAAAGCAACAGAATTTGAATTTATTGCTAAACACTAATAAACATATCTAGTTCCAAACTTCCACACGGACCGTAATACAAAACTTCGTGAATAAAGGTCACGCATATAACAAGTGCAAAAAATATTTTTAAAAAACAAATCAAACTCATTAA